TATCTATCTATCTATCTATCTATCTATCTATCTATCTATCTATCTATCTATCTATCTATCTATCTATCTATCTATCTATCTATCTATCTATCTATCTATCTATCTATCTATCTATCTATCTATCTATCGACAGGTATTAATCACTGAGGGGAGATCATTTATAATAATTAAATCCATTATGAGAGGATTTACGGTTTGTAAAATCAGCAAGGGCTCAAATACTTATTTCCCCCACTACATTTCCTGCTCTAAAATCTTCTTTAATCCCAAATACCCGTCCTTACTTGTCTCTGGTAGCGATAGCGGCACAGAGCATGATGAGGGCTGCGAGCCCAACAATAAACCCAACGATGATGATCCAGTCTGTATAAACCAGAGAGATTAGTTATTCAGAATGGATGTTTAAACCCAGAGTTAAATCATTAGAAACCTTTAATGAACACGGTTTCTGCTCACCAGGGGTGCTGTGTCCTCTGTGCTGTTCTGGTGAGATGTTTTCTGAGTTTTCCACATCGTTGTGTAGTACATTCACTAAGACCCAAAAAGAAAAAACGTGTCGTTAGACTAAGATCTTTAACAGACAAGAATGTGTGAACTGTGTTGTGCTCCTCCTATCAGTTCCTGCAGATATTCTAGAGCTGTGGGGTCTGGATCTGTGGTTAGGAGTTTCCCCCCGTGTTCCTGCTCTGTTATTTCTGTCATAACTTCTACCATTATCATTAGCATTAATATCATTGCCTTTTTCATCTATTCTACGTGTTGCTGTGTTGCTGCCTCTCTCTCTCTCTCTCTCCCTCTCTCTCTCCCTCTCTCTCTCTCTCTCTCTCTCTCGCCCCCCCACCCTGAGCCATGGTTGTGCTCCAGGTTTCTGCCTGTTAAAGGAAGTTTTTCCTTGCCTGTGTCGCCTAGTGCTGCTCATGGTGGGAATTGTTGGGTTTCTGTAATTAACTTCAGAGTAGGTCTGACCTGCTCTGTTTGAAAGCTGTGAGATAAATAACTGTAGTTGTGATGTGGAGCTATAAAAATAAAACTGAATTGAATTGAATTGTTGGTTTGATTTGACATTTACCCCAAGGGCGAGCGCGTGGTGGAGCTGCCCCCAAAACGTTTCCTGCTTCTTTACTGACAGCCAATGAGGAACCGGCACTTCCCTCATGTCCACTTCCAGCCTCACTGGTGAAATCGAACATGTAATCGCCACTTCCTTCCACCGTGAACGTGGAGGAGGCTTTGGGGGGCTCAGTTGTGAGTGGAAACAGATCTTCATTTATAATGGACTCATCTGTAGACGTCGGGCTTTGAGCGGGAGAGATGGAGGAAGATGTGGAATCTTTCATTTCAAACCAGGAGTCCCCACTTCCATCCATCAGGAGGGTGGAGGTGAGCAGGTCTGGGGTCTGACTGGGGGAGGAAACTTCAGTGGATGTGGAGCTCTCAGTAGGTGAAACGCTTAATGTCGTAGAAACTCCACTTTCCAAATCAGTGGTCAGATCAGACCAGAAGTCTCCACTTCCATCCGTCGTGGAGGTGAGGAAGCTCTCCGGGGTCGGAGTAATGGAGGATTCTTCATGTGACTGAGGTGGAGGGAATAAAGCATCAGGGAGGAGAATGGCCTCCTGGATATAGTCCACCGGTGTTACAGGAACTAGGAAAGAGAGAAACCCATGGGTCAGTTTAAGTGTTTATAAACCAGATTTGACATGATGGAAACAGAGAGTTAGTCACGCTTTTTGTTTTCTTCAGGTCAGAAAACAATAATCCACAAGAGTGTATTTTTTTACCTTGTTTGCATGTTTCGGCTAACATGTAAACAAGGTAAAAATACACTCTTGTGGATTATTGTTGTGTAAGACTATATATATATATAAACATATATATATATATATATACAGTGGGGGAAATAAGTATATTGCTGATTTTGCAGGTTTGCCCACTTACAAAGAATGCTTATTTTTCCTCATCAGATGGTTATCAATTTGTATAATTTTAAGTGATGTGATTTTCTGGAATTTTCTTTGGGATTCTGCCTTTCACTGTTAGTTAATAATGCTAGTAGTATGTGTTTTTTACACATACTGGTGTATGAACAGGTTGTGAACTTGGGGAAATTAGTATGCAACAAATAAATGAGGTCCATCTCTGTTTTAAGATCGGACAGTTGATCTACGAGGGATGCGACACGGTATTTCTTTACGTTTTGTGGATTATTGTCGTCTGACCCGAAGAAAACAAAAAGCATGACTAACACTGATGAAGAGTGAAGACCAGAATAACTTAATACAAAAACAGAGAGTTATGGGCTGCTTTCACTCTGAGGCCTTACTCTGCTTATCGGTGGACGGCTGCTTATCGGTGGTATTTCTGGTTGGTTCTTTGGTCGTAAGGGAGGGAAACAGAGCGTTAGGGAGCAGGAACCCGTCCTTCACGGCCTCGTTGATGAAGTCCACCGGTGTGACGGGAATGTGGGTGGAATCTGGGACAAAAGAGAAAAGGGAAAAGTCCAAGGATCAACTCCAGTGTTTACAGGCCAGTCCGGACACGCAGCGGAAAGTTACTGACGTCTCACTGCTAAACTCACTCTCTTTGTCAAAAGTTCTTGTGCTAGCTTGTTTGGCGGCCGGCTTTGATAGTGTCTAAGAGATGATCTAATCATGACTAATCATGAGTCGACAAAAGGAGGCGAGCCAAAAGCGTCAGGACTCCGTCTGACTCACCGAATGCTGATTAACAGAACAATACCGCTAATTAAACATCTCATTTATCCAAGAATGTTTGGCAAGTGCGCTCGTTTTCGCCCATTTAAATGCAAATTGCATATTGATAGTGGATCTTGCGTGTCGTTTTCATGTTGTTGCTCATAACGATGAATAATGCTAATAAATCATTAGGTTTGTGCAGAGCCCTGAGGTTCATATCCATTTTATGCTGCGTTATTATCCCCAGTTTGGCAAATATGTTTGGTTGTTAACTAACTTCCAAGTTGTGTTAAACCTAGTTGGGAAATTATGAACTTCCATAATTAAGAGGGTTTTCCCTCCATCAATAAAATTTTATCCTATTAGAATTTTTGAAGAAATCTGAATTCCTAGTAAAATGTTCTAATGCTGTGGATAGAATCGTTACTGTTCACGATACAATTGTTTTACAGGTTTTAGTTAACATTTTTAGGACCTTATTTACTGTGAAAAGAGTTCATTTGAGGGAATTCAGGAGACGTTTGGGGACAAAGGCCACGTTTGCTCAGTATTTGAGCTTAGTCATGCTCAGAT